GGGGTGTTTCAAAATCTTTGATGGATTGGTTGCTTAGTCTAACTCTAATAAATGGCTGAGTGCCTTAACTAGATAAGTTACTTTGTACACATAGATGAGATTTTAAGCGCCATGGATTTAATTCTCACAACATACAGCTTTAGCAACTGTGAGGCTACCAGGAATGTGCACTATATGGTTCCAAATTTCTTCCTTCCCAAACACTAAAGAAAATGAATGACTTGACCTGAACCAGGAATGGGAAACAAATAGGGATATGAGCTGAATGAAGTATCAAGGCTGTTAAGTACTTTTATCCATAAGGGGAACTCTCCTATTTGTCTAGGCATTAACATTAAAGCTCCTTCAGCAAAGAGGCTTGGGGAAAATAATTGGGGTTAGAATGCGTGAGAAGAGAGTGCACCGAGGATAAATGTGTGTGATAACAATGGACTTTCCATGGCTTAGCACATCTAGATAGTGTTATCTGTTATTTGGTTCACTAGTGACCAGAACTATTCCTGATCTTGATTGGAGGGAGCTAAAAGTGACTTACAAAGAGCAGGTCTTAGGATATCCCAGGTTTACAGTTGGGGAAATCGGAGGGGCAGCCACCATCAAGGTCATACAGGAATGCTAAAGCAGAGCCTTCCAGATATTCCAGATATAAAACACGGACGTTCCAGATGTTCTTTCTGTACCTCCATGGCAGCATGGCATTGAAACGTACTTCATTTAACTCTCGAAGAGCCCCGGTATATGTAACTTGATTTTCTAAGTGAAAATTACAGATAATGTAGTACAGCAACGTCCTGTACGTCTGCGTAACTCTTGCATCAACCAGCTTCTCTTTAATGCTTCTGTGTCGGTGGAGGTCAGATTCCTAAAATGAAGCACTTGGCTTAACAGATTAATGCAGGAAAGCAGGGTAAATGCAGGCATCAACTTGCAGGCGTGTTGGTAGCAGTAGAGAAAGTACGGTTTTGTGTTGTGGGCCCTCTTGAAGATAGGGTCTACAGAAAGCAGATCGTCTGATAGTAAACTTTTGTACTTGGTTATATGAAAGAGGAAATTGGGGTCATGTGAACTTTGCCTCTTTTCTTGTCCTGTTACTGTGCATTGATATAGTCAGGCTACTTTTAGCTTCGTGGGCTTGGTACGTGAAACCAAACAATTTGATAACTTGACCTTGAGCTGGAGCGCTTGGTTTGGGGTGGGCAGAGGTTCCAGCTGGAAATGGCATTTTTGGTGATATTGTTTGTTTCCTGATAATACTGTGCCTTGATCAATAGCTTCCACATTCTACCCCAGAAGCGTAGGTAGTGTCTAGTTTGATCCATTTCTGGTGAGGTTAATGATATCATTTAATGTCAGCAACCCAGACTGACTTACTGTGGTTTTGCTCAAAGAAAGTCCCAGTGAATTAAGGCTGCTGACTTTCCAGTCACTTATTGAGCTTTCCAGAGCAATAGACCTTTTAAAAATAAAAATCTCGTGCTTTTGCATGCAGTACGTGATCAGGAGCAGCTTAGAATTTGAGAATCTCAATGTTACTCTTTACATTATCGACTAGTGACTTAATATTGGACTAAGGGTATACCTGCTGGGAGTCACCACTGTAGCTGCAGTGAAGACATACAGGAACTAGCTTAAACTAGCCATGACAGCCTGGACTAGAGCTCAGAACAAGTTGGGAAAACCCATCCAAGGAACGTGGGATACCTTGCACTTAAGACATGATTAACCAGTTAATCACTTCTTGCATAGTAACCTGGCCACATATTTATGCAGTTAATGGTATGATAAAACAGGCAATAAGCCACAAAGTTTTTAGACAAAATGGGTGTAATAACTCTGTGGCTAGTTCCCATTGCATGTTAAATTGAATATGTGGCTAGCACTGATCTGTTGATCAGCACTCTGAGCCCCAGGAGTGCACCAGTCTTGAAGGACTCCTATGTGTTCCCTCAGTGCTCCCAGCCACGGGCACACTGGGCACCCAGTTTGCTACTTGCTGGTGCAGGGGGAGCCTGGGATCATGATTCCAGGCTCCCCCTGCACTGGCAATAGGGTATGATTGGGATCTGATCCCCGGTCCCACAATTGCACTTCCTGCCATGCACATGTAGCATGGCAAGAAGTCAATTGCAAATCAGATTCCATTGCACCTTTAATTGAACCTCTGTTAACAGCCCAAGAGGCAAGGTAAGTACTCTTGTTGTTGGTCTGTTTTCACACCTAGATTGCTACCAGAACTAGAGCTATCTGGTTTGCAGAGTAACATAGATAGTGATGGTAGTATAATATAACCAAAGTAGTCAACATCACAGTCAACTATCTTCCATAAACCACAAGATGAGAGGGGGTTCTGTCTAAGCTAAGCCATTGGAGATGGGATGGGACTCTGACCCCTTGTGTCCTTAACTAAATTTTTGGTAAATAAGATATTCTTTAAAACACAAGAACTAAGACCTTTAAACTGATGTAATATCCTTCATTACCACAGGACTGAAGGAAAGGAAACTTCGCATATTTTTGTGGCTCTGGTTTCTGCTATCAGTTTCTTATTTTTATCAGAGGAAGAGGGAGTTACAAACATCAAGATTGTGTTAAGATAAGAGCTTCCCTCCCCTCCTTCCCCAGCACCCTACCAAACTGTGAAAAGCCATAAAGTGGCTGAAGTGCCATCTCCTGAGCTTTAGCCATGGATTTATAACAACGATTGTTGGAATCATTTGTATTTTGTCCAGTGTCTGAGAGGCACAAGGTGGAACATCTCTGTACGTTGGAAATGGTGATGTATCTTAGTAGAAATGTAGAAGTTCTTTCTGCTCAGACTAAATATTCTAGGATTGCTGGCTATGTGAAGCTAGGAGCTCCTGTGTTGCAAATGCCATCTGATCTGATGAGCATTCTTGCTACAAAGGGCACATGCCACTGATCTTGTTCTGCATGGTGTCTACCTAAGCCTTGGATTTATAAATTGCTTATATATCACTATATATGTAAATGACTCTAGAAATTACTGATTGTAATGAAAACCCTGGGTGCGGAAAGTGTTGCAGGATCTGTACAGTAAGCTACCAATAATTTCCTGAATGAAGTGCTGGAAAATAGGTTATTTAGACACTTTTTAGTATCTCATATACCAAGGGTTGGCAACCTATGGCCCATGGAGATTTTGGAGGCAGCCTGCAAAGCTGTGGCTTCAGCAGCATTCAGCAGCAAGAGACTCCTTGCACCACACCACAGTTGGCACCAGGATCTTAGCTGGAGAGGGAACTGCCCACATTGCCCTGCAGTTGACCGCCTTGGGCTCCAGCAGAGGGGCTGTCACTGTGCCCACATTGCATTTGGGCAGCTTAGGGTGTGACAGAGGGAAGGTTTTACCCATACGATGCCAGTCAGGCAGCATGGACTCCAGCAAAGGGGTGGCTTTCTCCCTGCCATCGTGGGCAGCAGGGAAAAGTGGCAGCATCCAGGTCCTAGTGCCCACACAGCTCCTACCTGAGTTGGGTACTGGGCTGCATAAGTAGAGCATTAAGGCCAAGAGACCAAGCCTTACAAGGAGAGACTCAGGGGCATGGGACTCTTCAGCCTGCAGACGAGAAGGCTCAGGGCAGCCTATAAGTACATAGGGATCTAGGAGGACAGTTGTTCACCAGGGCTCGCCAAGGCATAGCTAGGTCTAATAGCCCCAAACTTCTAGAAGGGCACTTTAGACTTGATATAAGGAAAAACTTCTTTACAGTCCGAGTGTCCAGGGTCTGGAACAGAATCCCCCCAGAGGTGGTGCAAGCACCTACTCCGGATTCATTCAAAAGGCATGTGGATGTTTATCTTGCTGGGATTACTTGAGCCCTTTAGACATGGGCGACTGGTGCCGCCTTAGTCGGGGGGGCACATGCTCCCCCCAACCAGTCCCGCCAACCAGGAGGGGGTCCCCCTGTGGCCGATCCCGCTGCCCAGGGGGAGCCCCACAGCTGATCCCATAACGGCCAGTCACTGTGGACAATCACTGCAGCCACTTCTGAGAGTGGTTGCGGCCGCTTCTGGGGGCGGCTGCAGCGATTGGCCAGTGCTTGCAGGGTGGGCACCAGCGCTCCCGCCTGCCCCCCATGCACCCTTGTTCACCCCCTACATGTTGCCACTGCCTGCAGACTTCCTACCTCCGGCAGGGGGCTGGACTCGATGATCTCACAAAGTCTCTTCCAGCCCCTAACGTCTATGAAATTGCCAGCAAGTTGAGGAAAGTGATTCTTCCCCTCTATTCAGCACTGGTGAGGCCACATCTGGAGTCCTGTGTCACGTTTTGGACCCCACCACTGTAGAAGGGATGTGGACAAATTGGAGAGTCCAGTGCAGAGCAATGAAAGTGGTTAGGGGAGTGGGGCACATGACTTCTGAGTAGAGGCTGAGGGAACTGGACTTATTTAATCTGGAGAAGAGAAGACCAAGAGGGGGTTTAATAGCAGACTTTAACTACCTGAAGGGGGGTTACAAAGGTGATGGAGCTGGACTCTGTTCTCAGTGGTGGCAAATACAGAACAAGGAGCAGTGGTCTCAAATTGCAGCAAGGGAAGTTTAGGTTAGCTATTAGGAAGCATTTTCTCACTAGGAGGGTAGTAAAGCATTGGAACAGGTTACCCAGAGAGGTGGTAGAATCTCCATCCTTGGAGGTTTTTTAGACAAAGCCCTGGCCAAGATGCTATAGTTGGGGATGGACGTGCTTTGATCAGGGGGTTGGATTACAGAACCTCCTGAGGTTGCTTCCAACCTCAATTTTTTATGATTCAGTGACTTCCAGCCTTACATCAGGAAATGTTGCCAACCCCTGTTGTATGCGGTATAGATTGCAGTCCTCTGTTGGGTGGGGATTGCAAGACAATTGACAAGCCGAATGCACCACGGCTTTGCAAGCCCTGGTCTAGACATCAGTCTTCAAGGTGGCAAATGAGAAAAACTGCAGCTAATGTATGGTGTTCTCTACTAAACTTCGATGTGGGGTTTTCTCTTTGCAGGGGTACTGCTAGATATACAGAAGTACTTCGGTATCCATGACAGCAAAGCCGGTTTATTGCAGACAGGTAAAGAGTGTGTCCTGGTCAGAGGAATATGATCTGTTCCACATACAGCTTGCTGGTTTCTAAAAATGAAGTATAGCTGTTCTTTTCTTCCTTGTTTTGTTTCTAGTTCCTCACTACTGCCTTGCAACTTTGAGTTCTAAAACTTTATCAGTTGGCTCACAAATGTATGGGTAAAAGCCAATGACTGCTGACTTTTAATCAAACTCAAAAAAGTTTCTTTACTGAGAGGGCTAAACTTTTTTTTGGGTCATTTAAAATTGTTACGGCCCTCAAAGTTGGATGTTGGAGTGGGTTTCTTGGCCAAATTCCTGCTTTAACAATAACATCCTCCTAACAAAATTCTACCGATCTTTCTGTAGGCCAGGCAGTAAATACCTTTTGCCTAAACTTAATGAGTCAAATATGAATTGGTCAGACCTATGATCCCAGGGTCTGAGGGTTGGCTAACTTTTAATTGCTGTTGGTTTGAATGAATGTGCTAAATAACATGGCTGTGCAATCCCTTTATTTAGCACGGCATCATTTAGTATCTGTCATCGTGAAACAACTAAGGTCAGAGTTCATGGGTGCTGGTTGTAGCTGTGTTGGTCTGAGGACATAGGCAGACACGATTCTTAGGGTAAATCTCATACCTTTTATTTGACCAACGAAAAATTTTAGTTGGTCTAATTAAAGATATCAGATTTATCTGAAGAACTATGTCTGCCTAATGTCAGAGTTAAAATTCTGACTGAAGAGCATGTTTTGGGAAATAATGGCACATTTTGGGTGGAAATGTGAACTAATGAGCATGGCTGACAGCATTAAACTGTCTTCTTAACAGAGTATTAAGAAACCCGTGTCTCATTCAAAGAAGTTTAAAAAGAAGTGTGGAGGGTGCAAGAAGCAGTGGTACAGATTTTTTAACAGTGTATCGAAAAGTGAATTTATTAAGGCACCTGGGAGAAGTTTTTCAGTCATGCATATGTGATAACCTCATGAGTTACTAAAGCACTGGACTGCTTGCATCCTGGTCACTGGTTTACACTTAACGTTTTGCTGCTTGTGGTTTCCGTTTCTTCATCTGTAAATGCTTACATCTAGATGAGTCGCTGCCTAAACCAGAACTATTAAACCTTGCTACCTCAGGACTAGAAGAGCTAAAGCTGCTGAAATATTAGCCTGTTTCAATATGGCTCTTGGGAGTGGTGATCTGCCCACAAGTTCTGCAAATTTGATCCTTCCTTTTGACATTTTGCCCAACAAATAGCACATACATACACAGTACTGCCTCAGGGGAAAAAAGGGGTGTCATAAGAATGACTTGCCTAGAATTCTCAGATTGATATATTTTTCTTTTTCAGCCTTCCTCGTATGCTACATGCTATCTGCACCCTTCTTCGGATACCTGAGTGACCGGTACAACAGGAAAATCATCCTTGGTGCTGGCATCTTCCTCTGGAGTGGTGTGACACTAGGCAGTTCATTTATCACAGAATCAGTATGTCACTGGCTTATTCTGGGGTGGTACTCTTGAGTCAGTGGAGTCTGGGGATAATGGAGTTTTGTTTTGAACCAATCACGCTTTTTAAAAAAGCTTTCAAGCAGCATGGTAGACCCTGCTTCTTAAAAGTGAACAGTTAACCATGTGTAGGAATGCTTTACCGGGGATTGTAGTATGCCTCTGAAGCCATGGAAGGTATAGAGTCATGAGATTACTATAGCATAGTGTATATGCATAAAGATTAAGTCTGTGAATTAAAATTGTACAGGCAACTTGTTTTCTAACTTTTGAGTGCTTGACTTTTCTAAAACAGTAGGGCTTTTTAGCTTCATAGTTTGTAACTTCGCAGTTTAGCAAACCGAAACCTAAGTCTACCATGTGGCATCATTGACGCCACTGGCTCGTAAGCATGCTTAGAGTGTTAGATCCTTCATGGTGGCACATGGTATCCTGAAATAAAACAGTCTCCCTGGATCCTTCAGCTGTGTTGCATACATCTTTTCAATTTTACCATTGCTGTTATTAGCAATGAAAGTGAGAAGAATGCCCCTTTAGTGGAATGCCTGGGCTCTTCTCTCTAGTTACAGCTACAACCACCGTGGACCTGGTGCCACAGTGGGAGCTCTGGCATGGTCGGCTGCCCCAGGAAGTGCTGGATACTTTGGACCTTGGCAATCTGTTAGGCATGTACCCAGAATTGTTAAGGTGGCTGTACTTGGGTTCTCTTCTAAGAGAAAAGTTATGATGAGCTGTACTGATCATTTCAGGAGTTTCAGTTAAGCACTGATGTCTGTACGAAGGTCATGCACCAAATATATAAAATGTCATGAAGCAAACTTTCAGCATTCTATAAGGAATATCAGTTTGTAATGAAATTCTACAGGTGGTTCAGAGAATTTCCTTCCCCCCCCCCCGCCAGTAAGGGAAACCTTCAGGACATGGACCACAATGGAAGCAGCTGTTTGGTGCTAGTCTTAATCAGATTTTTATTTTCAGTCATTGTACCACTTTAAGTCAATTGGGAAATGCTTAGTACCCCTTCTCCCAACTTTGAATAAGCAATGTTTCGAAGTGTGGTGCAAGGCTGTCTAAAACAGACAAGAGAAAGTGAGCAGTTGCCTTCCAAAAGATGGAGATGATGCACTTGATGTGCATTCCACTAGATGCTTCATCATGTACTGGACCTATTTGTATAATGCCCTATTAGCTCAACTTCTCGGGTGTCCACAGTAGCTCTCCATCTTCACTAAGGGGATTGAGATTTCCTTTTCACTGAGTGGTGTATTCTGAGGTTTTTCTCACTGCCTCTCAAATCCTTAAACAGACTTTTTTCCCTATCAATTTTGTGAAAACATTGTACACTAGTGCTTCCAAAAATGGACCTGGACTAGCGTGAGTTGATAACAGAATGTTAATTGCTGTCTACCCATTTTCAGTACAAAGGACTAATTCATCTAGTGTCTTTGCTGTTCTGAACACTGGTAAGAGTACCCTTCCTTTAAAAGAAAGCTTTCATATGATGTGCATATTTTGGACCATCCTCTGTCTTCTGCCTCCAGTATAGCTGGTTATTCTTTCTTTCGCGAGCACTTGTTGGCATCGGCACCTCCAGTTACGCCACCGTGGCACCAACTTTCATTGCAGACCTATTTAAGGAGGGGGAAAGGACCACAATGTTGTCTGTCTTCTATATCTTCATCCCAGTTGGAAGGTATGTCTTTTTACCTATTGTTGAACCTTATGGGAATTTTTTCAGGTCAGGACTGTCATGTAGCATCCTTTTTAGCCTTGATTATGTCCAGCTGAGCCTATACCTTTATTCTGACTTCACGGTAGGCCACCACCCAAAAAGAATTGGCTAGGCTTTCCATAATTATGTTAAAGTATATAATTTAAGTCACACCTTTTATAATTTTAATGGGTTTTTGTGTTCATTTTGGAAAACTTAAATGCTAATGTTGTGCATGGGCAGGCCCCCATTAGTTGGGAAAGTCTTAACATACATATATATCTTTTTAGATAGGCGAAAGCTAGGTTTTCTTCTCAGAAACAAGGTTTTCTTCTCAGTTGTCAGGAAACTTTTTTTTAATTAAAGTACTTGAAGAACAGAAACACTTGAGATTAGTTTTCACTTGCAATAAAATCCATAGGGGAAAAAAGCATGCTTGTTAGTTGCAGACCACACTGGAACCCAGGCTCCCAGTTTAAGATAAAGGAGTCTAGTATAATTCATCTGGCTTTTGTACATGGACTGTAAGATTTACTGCAGGTCCCTGCTTGTATCTGGATGCCTGGGTTTGTCCTAATTGAATAAACATGTATATTCCCTATGAATATAAATTCAATGAGATAGACTGAAGAATACTTTCTTTCCAATGCTGTTTTCTAACTTTGGGTTCCTTTCATTTACAATCATCTTCATGAAGAAGGGTGGGCCCAGGCAGAGGTACAATACATTTGGCTTTTAAGTCTTTATGGGATTGGGGCACTGGAGTAATAGCTTTCTCTTATTTTTTGGACCCTTTCTAACCATTCCCCACAAACTCATTTGCTTCCCAATGTGTGCCTGTGGGATAAGGAAAGGTGTGCTAAGCACTTCTGATTCAACAACATGGATATTAAGGACCTATTTGTGGTAGAAAAAGTCCTAGTATAGACCTGATTCAGACATTGTCATCACAGTCTGTCTGAGCACTTTTACCTTCTAATGGGAAGTACAATTAAATTACCATGGAGAGGAAACTATCACAAAATCTTCCTGTGTGCTTCCCTCAATAAAAATCCCTCTGCTGAGGGTTGGTCTTCTAGTGCATGAGTGGACACTGCACAGAAATCTTAATGTATCGTTTTTCTTTTACAGTGGCTTTGGTTATATTCTGTCATCAAGTGTGACACAAGCTACTGGCCACTGGCATTGGGCATTCAGAGTGAGTGTCTGTTTTTTGTATTGGTTTTTCTTTCCCTTCACCCCTTCTCCCTTTTCCCCTGGAATCTGATCTATTCCTTGTAAAATTTTAGTCTTGACTAAATCTGTGTAATGAACTTTGAGTCTCCTAGCTTGCTTACAAGGCAAGTCAGCAGCCACAGGGAATGGGTGACAGCTGCTTCTAGCAGTCAGGTGCCCTGATCTTTAGGAGCAGAACTCTAATCTTTTAGATCAAAGTGACCCACATGCAGCTTGAATGCCACAAGTGGCACAGGCAGTCTCTGCATGTAGCACACAGCATATCAGGGCAGGGACAGGAAACACAGTGACAAGTAGGACAAGAAGCAGAAAGCAGAAGAGGAGATAGAGCAGTAGCTTGGGCAGAGGAAGGGGATCAGAGTGATAGTTGGAGGGCGCAGGGCTAGCTTGTGGTACATGTGCCAAAAAGGTTGGTCCCCACTTCCCTGGTTATGCTGCCTCCCAAGCAAAATGAGTTGTCTGCCTTCAAGGTACTTGCAGGAGTAGAAGCATCAGTACTGGGATGACTGCTTGGCTGGGTGCCACCCTTCATGCAAGACTGGCAGCTCTGCACAGTGGGGAACTTTCTCTGCATTTTTCCCACAGAACTATGGGAGACCATTGGTGGACTCATGCAAGAACATGTGAGGGCATGCCAGTGTACTGCACTTCCTCACAACAAAATCTTGTCCTATAGTTGCATGGTGACCTACAGCAGGGGTAACCAACCTGTGGCACATGTGTCACAAGTGGAATGGGCAGCCTCCATGTTTGGCATGTAGCAGATCAAGAAGGGGCAGGGAGCAGAAAGCAGAGCAGCAGACTGGAAAGAGGAAAGGAGTGGCACTCGTGGGGGGTGAAGAGCTCACTGTCCAAGTTCATGGACAACGCCAAGCTATGGGGAAGCGTGGTCATGCTTGAAGCTAGGCTGCAGATACAAGCAGACCTAGATAGGCTTGCAAGATGGGCAGACTGGAACCAAACTAAGATAA